TGGTGGTTGCGAGATTGTTCAAATCTACCAAACCCATACAGAGATTAACAACTGAAAATAACAGATAAAAATATTAAGTTTTCCTTTAGAAACAATTGATAACTATCTGGATATTATGAAGATTTTGCATGTGATATTTCAAAATTTTTTGATGTATAAAAGTATTTTTAATCTTAAAATGAATATTACTTTGCATGATAGATAGGCAACATGCAAAAAGAAAAATAGACATTAGAAAAACATTACTTTATAAACCTTAAGACTTAATATAAAAAAAAATTATATTTTGCATATGAAAGCATTGTAATATTTACTGATAATTTGCCAAATTTCATTAAAATTAGCTTACTAATTTAAAAGTTATATAATGAAAACTATAACAAGCACGAAATGGTTACGAGGTCAGTCCGGGGGACTGTGCCCGTGCTGAAAGAGTTAATAAAGTTAAATGTTGGTAATTAACCTATATTGTTTACACAGATTTTCACACAGCTTATTTCTGTAATGGTATTAGTAATCAATATTTATATTGTATGATAGAATAATGCTAAATAGAAGACCAACTTGATGATAATCTTCTTCAAAATCAAAGAAAGTTTATTCATAATCAAGAAATGAAGCATAAGTATCATATTTTAAAATATTAAACAGTAGTCCCATAAATTTATTTTTCCAACATGGATTTTGGTGTTCTTAGAAGATTGTTCTTATGGTAAAAAAAAGAAAAAGTTATAAACTTGCATTTATGACTAATTCTCTTAATGTTTTTGTTGTCCCCTTCTTAAGCCCAGGAACTATTAGTTAGCTGGAATATATATTAACACACACACAAATGCAAAGCTGCATTACTATTCCTAAAGGAAAGAAAAATGACTGTAATATAATTTTAGGTTAGCTTATTCAGCAACAGAAAGGTCTCCAATGCACTTCCCATTGTTCAAGTTCTAGTTTGACCAGTTAGCATAAGTATTGTTGTGCTGTTATTCTTCTTGTTCAGTAAGCATGAATAATTTCACGAGTGTCTGAATACAACTAAAAATTCAGTCCATAACTTTTCATGAAAGTTTTTAAAGAAAGTTAACTAGGTAGATATTTGCTAAATGATCATCTATACATCAAGAAATATTAGACATTTGTAGAGTTGTTTTTCTGAGATATATGGCTAAAAATAATTAACCATGCATCAGGAGAGATTACAGATGTGAGTTGAAATATTGATATGTTAAAGTATTTTTTTAAGTTAAGAGTAATTTTTTTATCAAATATGTAAATTTAATTGAGTAGCACTTTGCAAATTAAAATTTCTATATTTTTCAGTTTTTATTAATTTTAAATTTCAGAAAGTTAACTTGTAGTTAACAAGTAGCTACCTCTAAAATTTACCTAGTGTGGATGAAAGATATACAGAGAATTAAATAAATATGAGGTTTTATTTAAGATAGATAATTATAACATCCTGACTAAACTGTTAGCATAATGTTTGATCATATTTGAATAAAAATTTTTTTTAAATTTAACAAGGACATCAGATTTTGGATAGGGTTGTAACACCCTGAATAAACATTTATATTTTTGTCAGTGTTACATTTTTAAATAATATTTTCTTGAATAGCAAATAATTTCATACTTTAAAAAAAACATGAATAAAATATTTTCAAAAATATATTTAAATAAAATTGCTTATATTTGGAAAAGGTTTTGTTGAAGTTTGAAATATTTGTTATT